TGGCTCTCACTACAAGAAAGTCGCGTATTACCGACGAATATTTACCAACGGATTTGTAGCCGTCGGAAAATAATCATTACCAATGGAAATTATCGACGGATATAAAATATTTATGGAATTTGATGTCACCGACGGATATATCCATCTTGGTTGCTAAGGCAAAACATATATTTCTTGTTTCAGCTGCAAAGTCTTCATATTCATCATCAAATCTTTTCCACTGAGGAGAATCTGCTGGATGCCTAAGCTTACCATCTATAATCCTACCTTCGGAATGCCAACTAAACTGCTTTGCAGTTTCAGGACTGCGGAAAAACCTTCTCAACCTTGGTATAATTGGAAAATACCACATAACCTTAGCTGGTGTAGATTTTTTCTTGACATATCATGACGCCTTACACTTTGGACATTCTGTAAACGATTCATACTCGTTTTGAAACAAAATACATTCATTAGGACATGCATGGATCTTTTCATGAGTTAAACCAATGGAACCAAGGATTTGCTTTACATCATATGTTCTCCTAGGTAGGACATTGTCTTCTGGTAGCATGTCATTTATTAAGCTTAACAGATCAGTAAAACCCTTATCACTCCATCCATGTGAGGCTTTTAAATTGTAGAGCTTCAAAACGGCACTCAGTCTTGTGAAATTTGGGCATCCTGAGTACAATGGTGTTTCTGCATCATCTTTCAATCGCTCAAACATCCTTGGACAGTCTCTAAGATCTTCTTCAATAACATTGGGGATGTCTTCAACATGATCATTTTCCTCAGAATTTAATGTCTCCGAGTAAAAGCTATTTACATTCATCCTAAGTGATGAAATATATCTTTCTATCTCACCATGTTTGGTCCAGTTTATATATTTATCATCAATTCCATTACACATTAGATGTTCTTCCAACTCTTCAACATTTACTCGCATCATATTCAAACAACACCAACAAGGGCAACAAATGAGGTTTCGGTCATGACTATGGTCAATTGCAAATTGAATAAACTCCTTCACTTCATCTTCATATACTTTGTTCAAACGACCGGCTTTCATCCAACTTCGATCCATATTTGCCTGAGGCACACTAAATTTGTTACATCCATATGTTATCTACTATTTTTGTCTCACAGGGTATGACCCTATCCCATTTGAGAATAAAGTTTTCCATGTCATAATTATCATTTATTAATTAAACATTATATTGTGTACTTAATCTCTAATATAAAAACTATCAGCAAAAACATCATACACAATCTCTAATACAAAATATTTCACGGTCACACTAAATCATCTATATATCCTAACCAACCTATATTCCATTTCAAAACACAATTTCAGATCACAATGTAGACAAATTTTAAACCCTAAACCCTAAAAAATATATAATGCACTAACTCCCAATAAGCGCGTCCTACAACAACAATGGCGAATGGAGACTGGAATGCGAACTTGGCGACACACAAATATATTATAATGTAATATGCTTCAATGAGAGCAAGAGAATCAGAAAGATTGAAAATACAAAGAACGTACCTTTAGCTTAATAGAAGACGCAGACAGCGAGAAAGAGAGCGCAGAGAGCGAGAATGAGAGCGCAGAGAGCGGCAAAAAAATGCAGACACAAAGAGCGCGAGGTTGAAGAAAGTGGGTGTAGGGTTTTAAAAAAATATGACTTTAGATAGCAGTTGGTCAAATAACCGTTATCTAAACTACATTTATTATAGCGATCCCACGAAGTAACCGCTATCTAAAGTTATGATAGTGGTTCCACGTGTCAACTGCCACTCTTTAAAAGTATGACATTAGATAGCAGTTATCACACAATTGCTATTATAAATTATTTTAGAAAGCGGTTCTTTCTGAACCGCTATTAAAACATACTTTAGAGAGCGGTTTGCTCCTAACCGCTATCTAATATGTATTTTTAAAAGCGATTTTTATTAACCGCTATCTAAAGTGTCGTCGCATAAGTCCATTTCTGTTGTAGTATATCTTTGTAAATTTGAACCACCTCACAACATTTTTCTTTTTTTTTTTAGTGTTTGGGTAATGTAGTTTGAGATTTTCTACATGTTTAAATTAATGGACAAAGATATATTTTGGCAGGTTTCAAGATATATGTGTTGATCTACTATATCAAGTCTTCTATGAGTAGGTTTAAAGATTGTGTGTATTTTGAAAGATTGTGTGCATTACAAGGAATTGAGAATTTTCTCTATAGGAAGCTCATTTTGAGATAAAGAAAATTAATTATCTTAAAGTTCTTTAAAATCTTAGGATAAATGATCTATTATTATTATTATTATTATTATTATTATTATTATTATTATTATATATATAATCATTGTTATTTTTAATAATTAAAATAGATCGGTGTTTTGAAATTGAAATTTGAATTTGTTGTTTTAATTGAATTGAGTTTATATAATTTAGGTAAAATTAAGTATTATATATGTACCTTAAGTTAGTTCAATTTCAATAAGTTTAGATGAAAATTGTAGTAGAAATAAGTTGAGATTATTTTAGGTGCTTAGGGATTCATAGGGAACATAAGACAAACTTATTAACATGTGTATAATTCATTTATTTAAGTGTTATCTTATTGTTAAAGCGAAAATACAATAAAGACTACTCGCTTTTTTCTAAAGTCTATTTACTTATCGTTTAAGTGACGAGATTTTCAAAGAAGAAAAAATTGTTTTGATCTTATTTTCGCTCAAGCAAATATCCTACTCAAGCAAAGAAAATTCTAATATAGAAAGGAGCTCATGTTGATTTTTACTCAAGCAAATAAATTTCAAGGAAATATATATATAATTTTGAATATATATATATATATATATATATATATATATATAACTTATGATTTTCTCTAAATTTATTATTCTGAATGAGATATTTTGACTTTACTAATATTAAACTCTCAATATGGAAGAAAATATTAGGTGATGAGAGTTAAAAAAAAAATTTATATCTTAGATTATGATGCGAAAATAAAGTATATATAATAAATTATTAACATTAACCTTGTCACATAAAAGAGAATGTTTCCAATTATATACATATATTAAATATATTTATTTAGCAAAAATAGTTTGATAAATTTAAATCTTTAAGGTCAATCCAATGTATATATTTAAAAAATATGATCAATTATCTGTATATAAATATTGATATGTAATCACATAAGATATAATTTATAGGCAAAATTAAAAACTAAATTCATTATATACTTATTATCATTCATATATATATATATATATATATATATATATATATATTAAAAAATTTATCACTAGATTATCTTATTTTTTGCAAATATTAATTTTAATTATTATAACCATATTGTCACACAATAAATAAATGATATTTTAAATTATCAATCTCAATATTAAATTATATTTTATATTTATATTTGTAATTTTCTCTACTGATATATTTTATTTCTTAGTCTTATATTCTGATAATATTTTATACCTTTATATATTTCTGTTGTAGTTTGTAGAAAAAAATTTATACTTTTAGTATATTTTAATTAATTCAAAATTTAAATAAATTATAAAATTACGAATAATGTAGTTGTGTTCCTCATTCATTCGTAAGATAGTTTTTATGATCATTTATTAAATTTTAGTAATAACTTTAAAAATCATTTATTAAATTTTAGTAATAACTTTAAAAATCAGACTAATATTGAGTTTTATTTAACTAACACATTAGTTTTTTTATAATGATGTATTCACTTATTAAAAGTAATATAATAATAAAAATAAAAATAAATGTGTGGGATAATGCTTGAGAAATGAATCAATCAATATTATATTTTAAAAGAATTATTCTTATACATTTACGAGTCCTATCTCATTTATACGTTGAAATCAATAATAATTTATATACTCTTTTTTCTCTTAATTCATTAAAATATTTTTTAATTCATTGAAATATTTTTTAACGATAAAATTTTTAAAATAGACATGTCGAAACATTTTTCTTATATATATATATATGATAATAAATATATAATGAATTTAGTTTCTAGTTACTATATTTTGTATGGGATCATACATCAACATTTATATCAGGATAATTGATCATATTTTTAAAATATATACATTGGATTCATCTTAGATATTTAAATCTATCACACTATCTTTGCTAAGTAAATATATTTAATATATGTATATAATTGGAAACATGGTGATCAAAATTAGATAAATTTATTTAAAATAAAAAAATATTTTTATAAATCATTCTTACCAATAATTCATAATAAAATATGTATTTTTATTTTCAAGAAACTCTTACTTAAAATAAATATTTTTAGAAATATTGTTATATCATTAATTAAAAATCAATTATTAAAACTGATGATAAAATTAAATATTTAATTATCAAAATCTAAAATTAATCATAATTATTGATTTTATAATTAATATTTGTTATTATATTGTAGAAAAGTCAAATCCCAATTTTCATTTACGTAATTTTACAAATTGTAATTTTGATCCATTTTTTTTTTTACACACTTTTTCTATATAAATATTTTTATATTTTAGTCAACTGCAGTATGTTTTGACAATACCAAAAACAAATATATTATATTCACGATAAATTAAAAAGTAAAAGAAAAAATATACAAAATTAATAAATGAACTAAAATTACATATTTTTAAAATGTAAATACTGAAACGAAAAATAAAAATAAAATCACGAATGGAATTAAAAAAATAAATTATAATTTAAGCTGTTTGATCACAATGTTTTAGAATAATAAACGAAAAGGCAGAAACACCCTGAGCTTTCGTGAAAATTCCTTTCTTGTCCTCGATCATCGAAAGGTTGAACTTCATGGAGGAAAAGCGCCTTCCAAGGTCCGCGCGCTAAAAAAAGCGATCGCATTCAACCAAATTACCATCCTCCCGTTACCTTCTCGCCCCCAGAATTGTGTTCACAATCCTAGCTCCGAACCTAATCCCAAAATCCAAACCAACCAACCCCCACAATGGAACCCCCCAAGGCCGAAGCGGAGTCCCAATCCCCAGTCCCCAACGGCCACACCACCACCACCACCACCTCTAACGGATCGGGACCGGAACCTCACGTTTCGAAGGAACAACGCACCACGTCGTCCACGAAAAAGTCCGTGCACTGGAGCCCCGAATTGGTCACCGAATCCACCTTCACCTCTTCCCCTCACGAATCGCGTTCCAATCCATACTTTTCCTCCTCTTCCTCCTCTTACTCTCAACCCGGCCCCAATTTCATGGGTCAGTGTTTTATATTCCTTTTTCAAATTCTTTTATATTTCCTTTTCTTGCGCTTGGATGCGTACTTTCCTTTTGTTTGTGACCAGAGACTGTGGTGACCGTTCGCAATGTGCTGGGGAGATGGGGTAGGAAGGTAGGAGAGGCTACAAGGAAGGCTGAGAGTCTCGCTGGAAACACGTGGCAGCACTGTAAGTTTTCTGGTTTTTTTTTATTTTGTTTTTTTGTCGTTTTTCTGTAATAAATCTGAAGTGGGTGCACATGGAATGGTGCTGGTGGGGGTGACTTTTGATTGACCAGATATGGGAATTTAATAGGAAACTGGTGTTAGAGTTGTATAAATTTAAGTGGAAATTGGATTGTTATGTATTTGCCAGAAATGGTAATGGATTCAGTGACTTTGGAGCAGGAACTGCATCATGAGTTGGGAGCATTATTAGCCATTAGATTAAACTAACGTTTGAAATGGTATCCTTAAAGAAGGTGTCATCACACATTTACGTTGGATAAAATAGTTGTGTGTGAGATAGTGTGATCTATTCTGTACGAAGTGATTCATTAAATGAGAAATGGAACACACCAAAATTCATTGTTTCTAATAAATTTCAGCCAATAATAAAAAGTGTGTTGCTAACTTTTTTCTTTGCTTAAATGTCCCATGAAGGCTTTATTATCTATCTGAGTTGGTTTAGCATCAGGATGTACCCAACTAACACTTGGTGTGTGTGTGTGTGTGTGGCATGCACCTTAGATGCTATTTTACTGATGTGGTTTAATTTATTAACCATTTTCTTGTTGTCAACATCATTTTGTCAACTGGTTGTCATATTGACTATTAAATATTATGGATTTAATCTTTGTGTATTAATAATCAGTGTACTTGATGAGTTGATGGATCTTCTGTGTCTTGTCGTTTTCTCCCCCGGATCATCGTAGATGACAGTGAATCTTCTACATTACATAACTGAAATATACTTGTTTTGTTATATTGTTCTTAAGTGAAAACAAGCCCTAGCTTTGCTGAAGCTGCTATGGGGAGAATTGCCCAGGGTACAAAGGTTCTGGCAGAAGGTGGATATGAGAAGATTTTCATGAGCACGTTTGAGACAGGTCCAGAGGAACGGCTTAAAAATTCTTTTGCATGTTATTTATCCACGTCAGCGGGTCCAGTGATGGGAGTTTTGTATATATCCACTGCAAAGGTTGCATATTCTAGTGACAATCCTATTTCCTATAAAAATGGCAACCAAACAGAGTGGAGCTATTATAAGGTACTTATTCTATCGAGATTAGAGATTGTTTACTGAATTGCTAGTGGAAAATACCCTCAGCATAATTATATACAAAATTAGCAATCACTAATAAACTGAGTAATATGACAGCTCCTAAATAGATTATATTCTCCCAAAATAGGAAATACTTTCCAACACTTCCTCTCGTTGGAGCATATAAACCATATTCACCAACCTTGTTACTATGGACCTGAAATTCAATGACCCATAAGAGTCTTTGTTAGGATTATCTCAAGCTAAAATTATAATTAACAAACACAATAGTAGTTTCCTTGGATAGGACTTTTTCTCTAATAAAGTGATAAACAATTCTCTTTGCTTGTTTTTTTCATGAAATATTGTGTTTGATGCAATGTGAAGAGCAACTTGATTATTACTACATTTGCATCATCTTATCAACACTTCCAAACTTCAATTCCTGAAGTAATCTGTTTTACTCATATACGTTCACAATTAATCATTGTTCGTAGCCTGATAGTTATCATCTGTATCGGACTGTCCAACCTCATATTTGCTTCCAGGATACAAGATTACCATCATTAAATCTTGTATCCCGAAGTAGATTGCTTATTGATAGGTGAACCGTATAAGTCTTTGATTTGGCAATGAATAAACAAATGTTTCTTCAAGGAGATCCTTACCTAAGTATATCACCCGAATACACTACGACATAAAGTGATAAACAAATCTGGCAGTTGAAATATGCTGGTAGAAAACACATCTGGCAAATTCCTGCACAACAATACTAGATTTTCTTAATCTGGCTTAAGGAGACCATTTAAAACCATAAAGAGACAGTTTTAACTTAAAAACTAAGCTTGACTCCAAACCCCAAACATCAAATCCATGTGGGCAATCCTATAGTATGGTAACTAGTGAAATCTTTACTCTCTTTCTTTACCTGGCTTTTCTTGCTAAAATACTACTATCAGATGGGCAAATTAGTTTACTGAATAGCTTGAAGAAGATAGCCATATCAAGATCAATTATGTACAATATTTATAATCAATGTATAAGTAAATTATGTAAATAAGGAAACTAAGTAATAGGTTAGCCATACAAATAAATCGGAATATGCACTGCTCCTAAATACTTCATATTCTCCCTAAATAGGATATATTTTCCAACAAATTCAGTTCTATAACAGAGTAAAGATTAATATCAGCATTACGAGCACTATCCTTTCACAAAACAAAATATCCTGACTGACTTATGAATATGTATATATATATTTTTATGCCAAAGTTTGTCACGCATTACCTCGTGAAGTTACTATGATGAAAAGGGTCATAAGTTTTTTACTTATTGTTGACATGCATTGTAATTTACAACTTGAAATATTGGGTTGTTGAAAAAACTTTACTGTTTTCTCTTATCAAATACGTGAATCGTGATCATTTTTTCCTTGACATGTGGGTATGACGGTCCTCTTGTGTTCATGTTTCTGGTTATGCTTTTGGATCAACTATATATATTTTTTGGGTCCAACTGGTTCACTTGAAGTGTGCATAATTCTTATATAGTTAGATCATATTGAGAAAGTTTGAGAATATGTATTTTTGTCTTCCTCTGTAAATAATTACCAAAGTTTTCTCATATGCCTTCTAAAGTGAGCCTTTTGTTTATTAAAATGAAAAATTTATCCGGGGGAAGAAAAAATCTCAGTTAAGCCGGATATAAAGCCAACATAAAGGAAACCTTAAATCTGAGAATGAATAAGGAAATAGATCATACCTGTTGAAAGTCCCACATCGCCTACCTCATATCATTTGGTATAGTTTAAATACATATTAGGCTACTCCACATATTGCCAATTGGTTTTATGTTGGAACCTTAACATGGTATCAGAGCCAAAGCCTAACATCTTTCCGGTTATTGTCATGGGTCAAAAGTACCCTTTGCCTGGTCCGGCGGGCTTCGTTGGAGGGGGTGTGTTGAAAGTCCCACATCGCCTACCTCATATCATTTGGTATGGTTTAAATACATGTTAGGCTACTCCACATATTGCCCATTGGTTTTATGTTGGAACCTTAACAATACCAAAAGTGGATAAAAAAATTTCCATCATTATTTCATTTTTCATTCTCTATTCACTTCTCTCTTTTTCGTAGACGCAACTTGTGCTTGAATGCACAGCTTAATTTGAGCCTGGACAGAAATTTTACTCCATTCTTTATATCATCTGTTGGTTGTAAACCAATGCATGCCTTTGAAATTTGAGCAAGGATATATAAGCTATGAGTGAAAGATTAACCGGACATAATAGTTTGCATACATTGAAGTTGAGAAGACGATTTTATGTAATTAATTTCATAAAATGTGGTGAAGGATTACTATGAGCCATCTTAAACATAAAATAAATGAATTTAATAAAATTTACACAAGCCTTATTGAAGTTGTTGACTCAAGATTGAGCTAGACTTGATTACATATTTTCAAGCTTGATTTTCAGCTGAGCTTGGTTCTAATTATATTACCTGGATATTCATTATTTTGAATTACGCACACAAACAGAGAGTTTATCTAGGTCACAAGCCTTGGAATTCAAGTTCCTGGCTGTACAGTAGCCCTTTGAGTAGCCTTTAGCAAACATTACAATGTTGACAGACCACCCATGCTATGCTACTTGTTTGCAGCTAGAGTGTGAAAATAGGTATCATCCGATAGACCGACCCAAAAGATATAGAAAAATAAGTTAGGATGAGTCAAAAAAATTACAATCTTAATTAAATCAGACCAATTTTAACTTGGTCCATTTACTTCATAACCCAAATGAGTTTAATCCAAGCTAATCTATAAATTTATGGGTTGACTTATTTTATTAAATAATAATAATTTTAAATAAAAAATAAAAGTAATATTGTTTTATTGAAAACATATATGTATTATAAATTAATTTAAGAAGGGATCCATTAACTTCAAAAGTGAAATTGAAATATTTACTTTTATTATTTGGATAAATTATTTCATATAAACATATTATAATTTCCTTTTTAATTTTTAACCAGCCTTTTCAATAAAAAAATATTATTTATTTTAAAATATAAGTCTGACTAAACCATCAGAGTTTTTTAGTTGACAGCGTATTGATAATCTTTACAATCCTATATGCATTTGTGTGACATGGTGGAAGGATCTAATAATACCAATTGAAATAAACCTTTGGAGAACAACAACACAAACCTAGCTATTGTAGTTGAAGAGTCTATATCTTTATAAATCCCATACTTCTAATGCGGTACTCAAGTCCCATTCCATGCAATTGGATCCTAACACTATTATTATATTTGATTTCATATGGTACATAAGCTACCGGACCTGTTTCAGTTAATAGCTTTCTTGTGTAGTGTGTTACCTAGATAGATATTCCAATAACTTATAGTACAGTGCTTGGAGACTGAAAAACTCATATCTAATCTGCAAAATTATAAACAGAGTACTTGGTTGATGAATTTGTGATTGAAATTTGTTTACAACTTTCGGGTAGGTTGTTTGGTGCATTTTCTAAATGGATTGCATCCTCTCTCATGTAGTTACGGAGTGAATATGATCAAAAAGGGTTTTTTTTTTTTTTTTTACTAAAATTTAGGATGGTTCATCTTTGTTGTTGCTAGGGTGGGTAATAAAATTTTATTTCATCATCTTAATGTGATCATTAGTCGGGCATTTCAATATTGGTCCATTAGATCTAGGATTGAGGTTGAAAACCGGTACAATCATATTTTTTCAGAGATTTTTTATAAGAGGTCAACTAAAACTACCCCCTCAACCCTACATTCTTAAAAATGACTAGCTTCTTTCAAAGTGAGTCACCCTCCTGATTTAGCGGAGTCGTCTATTGGCCATTCTACTGCCCTCTCCTGATTAACTATCAGTCGCCACAATTCAGCTTTTTTTTTTTTTCTCCTTGCGATGGTCTCTTCCCTTTTTTAATTAAGTTGTCTGATCTTGAATAATATTGTATCCAAGTGTTACTGTTGTCCTTGATTGGTATGTTATATTGCATGTAGGTAATCATCCCATTGCAGGAGCTAAAAGCAGTGAATCCTTCATCAAACACATGCAATCCTGCTGAAAAGTACATCCAGGTGATTTCGGTTGACAATCATGAATTTTGGTTTATGGGCTTCTTGAACTATGACGGTGCTCTGGAGTCCCTGCAAGAAGCGCTTGATGCTGGCAGACGTTTACAATCATAAGCATAGTCTGCCCAACGGACCTAAAGAAAGAATCATAGTCTGTCCATACTTATAGAGTTTCAAAACCCCAATTATATTTTTTCCTTTCTGCAAAGGTTTGTAGATGTGATCATTATGGTCTTGGAACTGTTGATAAATATTCGGCCAACTTTTGGCTATTTTGTGGATATGAATTTACCCTAGGGTCATACCTTGGATCATTTGAGGGGATCCATTAGATTAGTTTAGAAAAGTTATATGGTTTTCTGTTTCTCATTACCATCCTTTCAGGGAAACTACTTCGCAACTCTAATGCACAAATACTTTAAAATGAAGCCGTACCCAGCATATTATCTGAACCAACTACTTAGAAAACTAGGAATAGAGGCATCTAAACCCCTACATATGTAACAGATGAGGTGAGCAATTAAACTTTTACTTACTGCATCGATCTTTTTCTCCTTACATACACCTTTTCTTTTCTTTTTTTTAATTATGGAAATCTCATTATCAAGACCTGGGAATCTTACTAATACCAATTGTTTCTCCGAAAATATTCTTGAGATTTTCATGAAATTTTTTAGAATCTGGCATCTGACATTCTTGTATATGCGAAATACTTGGGAATCCTGAAGGTTTTCCGGAAACTATTTTTGGTCAGTTTGGAAGTGCAAATGTATAAACATTCCGAGAGCATAATTTTACACAAGTAAATTGTCCCCTTCTACGTACTTCAAAAAATTTACAAATTTAAGCAACAAATGGTTCAAGATATCCCCTTTTAGAATTAACACAAATTAATTGTTCAACAAGCAAATCAACATTGTATTGTAAAATATTAATTATGGAATTTTAACGTAAATACACTTTTACATGGAGGGGTGAAGATACAGAGATAAGCTACGAATATTTAATAAAATGAATAATAAAAAATGTTTCTAATTTATGTTATTTCGACCAATATGACTAAAATTTTCGTATTTTTTTAACTTTTAAAAAAATAGTATACATTTCTGGACAAGGAGGAAAACTACCAAAATCACATGTTTTTACAGAGTTTGAGGATCAAATTAATTGAAATTAAAGTAAAGGAATATTCATGAAAACTCACTTGTCCCCGATAAATAACTAGCAATATTAAGCAATTAACAATTTTGTATTGAGATATCTTAATTATTTTAATTCAAACCAAATATAAATAATTTATAATGTGAATGAATTATTCTGTTTTATATAGGTAGTTTGACAATGATAGTGGATATAATGGAGTACATTGGGCTGAATACATGCAACAACTGTACAAACTTTTTTTTCCATTAAGCAGAGTAATTGCGTGAACTAAATAAGAGTTAATTGCTTTATTATTCGTCTAATTAAATTACAGAATTGTCCTTGAGAAAAAGTAGTACAAAAGTAAAAATTCTTCGTAAAAAATCAATAAAAAATAATAATTCACAGAGCTAATAAAAAAAATAATTAAAATAATGCTATTTAATGGTCTTTCACGCACATTGATGTGTTCGGCATGGAGTCCTTTCGCAGGGTCCAATTTCTTGACCCAAAACGCCAAAACTCAAAAGAAAATAATTTCACGTATCAAACAACACCTGTTATGATTTTAACAAATGAAGAAGGTTAATCTCCGTCCTTCAAATTTAATGGAAGACTCATACTCAAATATGAAAAAAAAAAAAAGTGCATTTAGAAAAGTTTTTTTTGAAAAGCTTTTCAGAGAAAACATTTTGAAAGGTTTTAATTTTATGTTTCTAGAACTAAATTCCAAAAATATATTTTAAATTGTTCTTAAAATATAATAAATTTTATTATAAGATATTCAAAAAATATCAATTTATGCAAAAAGCAATTCCAAAATATTTAAAGATATATTTAAGAATGCATTCGCAACATTTACAGAAGAAGTTTTTAAAACATTATAAATTACATTTTCTAAAAATTGTAAGGGTTTTAAAAACCATTATATCGTAATGGAAGGTGCAAAATATATTACGGAGGTAAAAAAGAAATTCTCATAAAATAGCTGATAATAACTTACTTTTATCATCTCTTTGTTCCAATAGAACGATGAAAATGATCTTTTCTGAATTAACAAAATATTTTGTCCAAAATGTATTAAGAAAATCTCATATTTATATTTTAAAGATACCTTAAAAAAATATTATAAAATAAGAATTTTAAAATGTGTAATGTAAAATTAGAATGTATCCCATTATAAGATTTATTATGGAAATATAAAAATTAAAAAAATTTAGAACATATTTAAGTTCGTTCGTCAGTTCTATATCGTTTAAGAATATAGTTTATATATATCTCATTTTTTATGTTTTATCTCTTTTTATCGAAATAAGTAATAATTTATATATATTTTAATTTTTTTCTTTTAAAGATAAATTACGATGGATTATAATTTTATAATAAATAATACATTAAAAATAATAATTAATGTTGGTCAAAGAAAGTGGCTGCCAAATTTTTCAATTCTTACTGCCAAATTTTTTATGCAAGCATGAGGTGCACGAAGCATATTTTATTGCAATGCACAGTACCAATTTTTGCTATAAATTGGTCTTCTTCCTGCAAGCAAAATCATCCCATCCCACACAAAATATTACTTCTCTTAGAGAAGAAAAGAGTGGCATCGAGTGAGAGCGAGAAAAACTAGAGAGTTTTAGTTTAAGCTTACGGGTGTAATTGGGTTGTGAGTTGTGAGTGTTTTGGGAGTGTTTTGTAAACACTTGTGTATTTTCTTTTCTCCTAAAAAGATATACGTAGTAGTCGGAGACGTAGGCATTATTGGCAGAACTCAGTTATCAACTTGTGTGTGCAATTATTCAGCTTTTATTTCACTTTCACATATCGACCATATGAGAAGATTCGACATATTTTCCCAACAAGCTGGTATCGAGATCTGGTTGTTAGTTACGTAATTTTTGTGGTGTTACTATTCATATGAATAGTAAGTTACTATTCAAGTGAATAGTGAAAACGTGAATAGTGCAAATTTTGTCGGCGTTACAAATTTGCCGCGATCGTGTTACGAAACACGGTAGCTCACGAAATTGTCGAAACGATTTAGCGAGATAAGTCGGATCGAGTTGGAGTGATGGTTGCGGACGAAGGAAAAATGAAAATCGAAAGGTTCGACGAGTACGAGACTTTGGCTTCGGAAGATGCGAGATAGAGGATTATCTTTATCAGAAGAAGATGCATCAACCACTCACGGGGAGAAACCGGAAACCATGAAAGAGGAAGAATGGAGTCTCCTTGATAGACGAGGCTCTTGGAGTTATTCGTCTAACATTATCCCGTAATGTTGCTTTTAACATTGTGAAAGAAAAGACGACCTCGAGATCTCATGAAGGCTCTTTCCAACATGTACAAGAAACCATCGGCCTCAAACAAAGTTCACTTGATGAGGCGATTGTTCAACCTGCGGATGTACGAAGGTGCTTCGGTGGCAAATCATCTCAATGAACTCGACATCTGTAACAACCCAATTGAGTTCTATTGACATCAAATTCGATGATGAAGTACAAGCTTTAATACTTTTGTCTTCCCTACCGAGAGAGTTGGAATGCTACGGTCACGGTTGTGAGTGGCTCATCGGGAAACAATAAGTTAAGATTTAATGATGTTCAAAATTTGGTTCTCGGCGAAGAGATCCGGCGGAGAGAGTCGGGTGAAGCATCAACCTCTTCGATGTGCATACGAGTCAAGAGGAAGAAGTTCAACCAAAGAAATTAGACATGGAAAATCAAAGGACAGGCGATCCAAGTCTAGAAATCATCATAGTTCCCACAACTCAAAGTCGATCGAGTGTTGGAATTGTGGGAAGACCGGACACTTCAGAAACCAGTGCAAGAGTGCACGGAAGAATCAAGGAGCAAAGGACGAAGCAAACGTTGCCTCCACCTCAGGAAAAGATGAGGCATTGATATGCTCCCTTGAAGGCGGGGAGGAGTCTTGGGTGTTAGACTCAGGAGCATCTTTTCATGCTACCTCACGAAGGAAGCTGTTGGAGAATTATGTTCCGGAAACCTTGGTAAGGTTTACCTTGGTAATGAACAGTCATGTGAGATTGTAGGCAAAGGTGTAGTAAGGATTAAGCTGAATGGGTTTGTATGGGAATTGAAAAATGTCAGACATATTCCCGACCTGACAAAGAGCTTAATCTCAGTAGGTCAGTTAGCTAGTGAAGGCTATACGACAATCTTCCACGGTGATGAATGGAAGATCTCAAAAGGTGCGATGACGATTGCTCGAGGCAAAAAGAGTAGAACTCTCTACAAGACTGCGGGAGCATGTCATTTGATTGCGGTTGCAACAAATGAAAATTCCAACATATGGCACCAAAGACTTGGACATATGAGTGAGAAAGGAATGAAGGTCATGCACTCGAGAGGAAAATTACCAGGTCTTCGATCGGTAGATATTGACATGTGTGAAGGCTGCATACTTGGAAGCGAGAAGAGAGTCGGCTTTCGGACAAGTAAAAGAACCCCAAAGAAAGAGAAGCTTGAGTTCATCCACTACGATGTTTGGGGTCCAACGAATGTTCCATCCAGTTGGTGGGAAGCATTACTTCGTGACTTTCATTGATGATCACTCCGAGAAAGGTATGGGTTTACTTTACGAAATATAAGTCGAAGTATTTGAAGCTTTCAAGATTTGGAAAGCTATGGTGGAAAATGAGACGAGGATTGAAGATTAAGAAGCTTAGATCAGACAATGGTGGTGAATATGTAGACACCAGATTCAAGAAGTTTTGCTATGAGCACGGAATCGGAATGGAGAGAGCAGTGCGGGTACGCCTCAACACAATGGTGTAGGCTGGCGTATGAATCGAACGTTGGCTGAAAGGGCCGGAAGCATGCGTGTGCGGTCGAGGCTTACCAAAGCGGTTTTGGGCGAAGCAATCAACACGACGGCTTACTTGATCAAGCTGAAGTCCATCGGTACCATTGGAGCACAAGATACCGGAAGAGGTATGGAGCGGAAAAGAG